GGCTTTCATCTGCCTGATCCTGAAACAACACAAGTCATCTTGAAACTGTAATAAAAAATAGTTCAGCTGTAGCATCCTTTCGGTGCCTAGCTTCTGTGCCACACGAAGGGGGCACGAGGGCTGCGATACTGCCAGGTTGCCCAAACCTGGACAGGGGAAGTCGAGTGGCAGAGGTCGGGTTCGAACCACGGACCTTCCGATCAGTAAATTCGCGCTCTAACCACTTGGGTGAACCAAACTCGGAAAGAATCGACCATAAACTCTCACGAGTAGAGATCAGCACTTCAATCTTGACCGAGCACAACTTGATGGTAAGTACCAACGTTCCCGTTGCACTTTCGCCTAGTTGCGAGTAGGTCAGTTGCATGCGTAATGGACCCGGAAAGAACATTCAAATCAGAGTCCTACTTTTTGACAGTAGAGGGAACAAGAAGAGGACGGCCAGACCCCGAAGGTGACAAGTGACGTGAACAACGCCAGTACGAATGCGCTGAGGCTTGGGATAACTACCTGTGGATGACGTATGACTGATCAACTGCTAAGGGTCGTGAATACCACTGTTTCTAAATACAAAGAAAAGCCATGGGTTATCAACGGGAGTGAGTGTTTAGTAGATATTTCGTTCCGCAGCTGAAGCCAATTTACGCTGAGAAGCAAAATACAGCTATTGCATCCTTATGGGGAACCACCACCGGTGCGCACCTAACGGAACTCGAGAATGTCGAACCCGCGACGTCCCGGTCACTCAATCGTTCGGCCACGAATGTTTGATCAGCAGTAAAATTACCTCGCACTTGGGATACAGCACAGTCGTCCAATCACGGAATCCACATCACGTGGTCACGCGACCTGACTGAGTAACGACTTCTCCGATGGAGGTTTTACTCATCTTCTGAAATCATTTTTCCTCTGAATCACCTACAGATGACTAGAGTAAGTTTACTGGTCAGAACTTCATTCCATGTCGCGAAATCGAATCACGGATCACACTTGATTACAAATTTAGAGAGATGAAATCACACAAGACAGAGTGGATCCCAAAGTGAGGAAACTTCCTACAAACGTACAAGCAAAAAGTGGATTGGTAGGGCCCTGACAATTGGTTGTACTGTCTCCATCATCGGAATTTCGCTTTACCATTCCGCACAGGATCTACCAGTTAGCAAGATGGCTCAGTGGTTAGAGCGCGAATTCGCTGATCGGTCCGAACCCGACCTCTGCATCTCGACTTCCCCTGTCTGGGCCTGGGTAACTTGCTTGCTTTCTTCGGGTGACATGGCAGCTAGGCACCGGAAGAGTACTGCAGCTGAACGATTTATTATCAATCAGTCTGTTTCGGAATCGTATATATTACATGAACAACTTTTAGTGGTCGTGGTCATGTGACACAGAATCTTCATACAAACGGCTAAATTACTTCTCTAACATATTAAGCAAAGAAAACGCACTGGAAGATAACACTGGAAATTTTTAACAACAAGCGTTCGCTTGCCATCACGGGGCTTCAAGCTTTTATGTGGAAGTTCCGGACTCGCAGACGAGTCTGAAACAAGAGTAGTTCTACCGCAAGAAAGCTGGGTTCACACGGACTTCGAGAAGGCAAACCTCGCAGTGACTGATTGCAATCCACTTCGTAATGACTGTCCAACTGAACTACATAGAAGAGCTTCCAGTGCCCTCACGTACGTGCTGTTGCTGTTGCATAGGTGTTCACTCCACAACCTATTCAGGATGTACCAGTTGTTTCAAACACCATTTGGTCTTGATTACAGAGACCCGTTTCCTCCAGTGTCTGATTGTATTGAATTGGTCGATTCTGGCTTCAGTTACACGTTAATGACTAGTGACCTTCTTGGATATATCCTCAGGACCCATGAGGCTATTCTCGACACGACTCAATCGGAATACAACAATACAATGCGGTTGATGTTTTCTTCATCAACACGATTTTCTCGAATTTGTCTGATGAAAGACTGTCAGCTTGTACTAACGAACAACTTGAGGCTACGGCAGGTTGCGTGGTGGTAGCTTCTGAGAAGACAGCCTCTACCACCATATAGCCCGGTAAAAATAATTCAGTGCATTCCCAGCATGCGAAATTCATAACTTGACCGGCTCAACTATCTTTGCTGCTCTGTGGAAAATCTAAGAATAAATTTGAGCATTGGTAATGCAGTGTTTCATCGTACCGACATCAGATAGGCTGAAGTCGCTGGCTACGCATCTGGTCTTCGTGATAAGATCGGTTGCACGGCATGGTTCACCGACAATCAGATGAAGTTGTCAGACGCAGATATAAACTGCTCAGTGTTCCGTTCACTGAGACTGGGACAACAGCGAACAGATAGATAATAGCCTTGGAGTTTAGGGTGAAGTCTCTGTTTTGTCCACCCAACAGATGACAGACCTTTGGACGATGGGAATGAGCACGCAGTTTATCAGTCACATCAACTTCTGTTCGGTCTTTAGACAAGTATGGCGTTTTCGGGCACGGTAGCATTTACTGTCATAGCTGACATGGCTGTAACACCCTTCCGGTGCCTAAGTGCCACGCTACCCGGGAGAAGCACGAGGGCTGGAATACTACCGGGTTGCCCAAGCCTAGACAGGGGAAGTCGAGAGGTAGACGTCGGGTTCGAACCACGAACCTTCCGGCTAGTAAATTCGCGCTCTAACCACTTGGACCAGCTGACATAGCAGTGTTGTGTGGTAATTATCTTCATATAAACATCGCAGTTTAAACGGATATCAATTGTACGAGCAAAATTATCCCGGTCACTACATATCCAACCAATGTGCACACATTTTCGATAGACTACGTCCCGAAAAATCGGAATCGGCAGATTGGAAAAATATATATGGCAATGCGACAATCAGTATCCACAAACAGTTCAGATGAAGGGCATGGCAGCATAAAACTGAGGATGTTCGAGTCCGAAAACCAGTCCTTCTGGTCCTCTCAAACTGATGAATTGCCTTCTGTTTTCAAGCCGACCCCTTAACCGGCTCCAGGCAGTCCACCAGCGAACTGAACTCCATAATCAGGGCTTTCTTCGCGGCCACTCAGTAAATTACACAAAACACTTTCCAGTAGCATCGAAGGTTACACTAGCCCGGCTTTGAAGAAAGGGGGTTTTCAAGACTGTATCATTTCTTCTAAATACTCACACAGGGCTTGAACGTTTTGGTTTTCGAAGCTCGTAACCATGGAGTACCCTAAAGTTACCTTAGTGACGGCATCAAATCTAAGAAAAGCCCGCTCGAACACAAAGTCGACTATTGTTGGTGGTGAACGACTAGAGTACATGTTAACGAATGCACTGACACAATGCTCATTTGCAACAAGTGCACCAACCCTTACAGAGCATACGCTTCCGAAATCTTGTGCCAACGGAGGAGTGCAACCAAATAGAGCAACAATAATCAATAGTTCCGAAATCGACAGTATACACAAAGTAGCAATCAGTAAACGCTGGCAGTATGTACAAAGCCAAATGAAGAACGCATTACTGAGAATCCCCCCATCCAACACCTCACAGAAAGAAATAATTTTGGCAACTTGTTCTCGCCACAAGGAGGATGTAGTTGCATACGGTGAGCTGCTTATAGCTCAGTGGTTAAGGCGCACAAAAAGTTACTCCCAAAAGGTTCACGAAAGTGTCTCCACCTTTGCGCTTTCTTTGGGGTCACATGGCAGCTGTGCGCCGAGAGGATGTCACAGTTGAGCGATCGATTAACATTGACTATCACTGAATACAACGAAATCCGAGAAGGGCATGCAATGTCTTCTGACGGGCTCCTGTCGATGGGGAAGTACAGCGAACACAAAGGCTTTCAAAAGCCCGAGGGATTTTCGGATGGCATTGAATGCTTTGTAATCTACTACTCATATGCTTGCTGAAAATCCGTCGACAGCCCACGACCGGTTTCGCCCTTTTTGGGGGCTCATCAAGTAGGCGCAGTCCCCGAGTTTCCGTCAACCTTATGTTCTACTTGAAACCAAATTGCACGAAATCAGCGAATATATACTCATTTGCAGCTGCGAATCATTAGCGTGGACTTCGTGAACCTCTATACAGTTGCCTGAAAACATCACAAACGAGAGGTTCAGCTGGGTTCCAGGTGGATCTCTCGGAAAACCAAATTAGTTTTCAAATGAGTGTATATTCGCTGATTTCGTGCAATTTGGTTTCAAGTAGAACATAAGGTTGACGGAAACTCGGGGACTGCGCCTACTTGATGAGCCCCCAAAAAGGGCGAAACCGGTCGTGGGCTGTCGACGGATTTTCAGCAAGCATATGAGTAGTAGATTACAAAGCATTCAATGCCATCCGAAAATCCCTCGGGCTTTTGAAAGCCTTTGTGTTCGCTGTACTTCCCCATCGACAGGAGCCCGTCAGAAGATTTGTAAACGTTCCGTGAACTCAAAAAACCGTCGCGGAACAGAGTATAGATGAGTCTACGTGTATTCGGAGTTGGCGTTCGTGCGGTAGTAAGTTAGGTAAAGGACTTGACTGGATCTTTAGTATCTGGAAACATCCGACTAGCGGTACAATGGGCGCATTTTGGGAAGCAGTGGGAAAAGATAACTTCAAGTGATATTTCGGTAGAGATTTTTAACTTCATTAACCAATGGTGAAGGTAGCGAATCAGTGATGTCCTGCATTAGGATGTCACTTTGGCAGGCAGATAGAAACCTTGGCTAGTTGCAGCAGGATTCGCGTAGGGCATTTGGGCTTATGGTGCATGCCAAAGTAACAATAACTGTACACTTCACGTGGGACCACCATTCGTGAGCTTCTGCACCACACCGATTAAGCTCTCATATCGTTCCGTAGGAATTACTCGAAACCCGGCAATCTGATTTCCTCAGGTTCCCATCACAGTCAGTGTGATCACATACACGCTAGCGACTCTGGCTATGCACAACTGTACATAGAATTCCAGTGGATTAACCAATTATAACAGATGGATCAATATCGGAAAAAGGGAGAGCTCACTTTTTCCGAGGCCTGCACGTCCACGGCGGCGAGTTGAGTTGCTGAATGTTGGAGAGTAGGTAAGATGAGAGTCGGTAGTGTGGTTTGGTGTACAATGTCCAGACGATAACAAACGTGCCGCTTCGGTTTGAGCGCATGAAGCCGGGACTGTCCGTTCATGACGACTGCGTGCGGTTCCCAATTCCGGTTGTGTTCTAGGTTGCTGAGCTTGAGAATCTTCGAACAGAAAGAGTCAGAGGAGCAGAAAGCAAAGGAAGTAAATAATTCTGGCTTTCTGAAACGAAAAAACACAAACAACGAAGTGCACTCGAACACATAGCAAAGCCGAACTAACTGATACACACCAAATTACTTTGGTCTTCATCTGTCACCATTAGGGACAACAACACGATTGTTGACACTGACGCTTCATTGTCGTACAATCATAAAGCTCATCTAGTTACATTTAAAGCTATAGAGTGAAAAGAAGAGAAAGAGTGGGTGAGGCAGGGGACCTAGTGTTTGCCTTTAGCACGCACAACCAAACAATCTGGAAACTAACTGACGGCAAGAAAGAAACTGACATCAATTAGCCGGCATTTCTTGCAGTGTCTCCAGCACAGAATGAGTCATGGGTCCCCACTCTGGAAGGCGTACAACACCAACAACACCCAAACTCTTCGTCATTTCTCTCATATTCTTCTGCCAAGTCATGCACTGTCCACCTCGCGGTTTGCGCCATTCCGAAGTAGGCACGGAGGACAACACTCGTCTCGGTAGACGGCATGCGTAACACATGACTGAGCCACCGAGCCACTCAGGAATCACCATAGATTAAACGAGAAAAGGAACATACCTCTGCTGACTGGACCGTTTGTAGGCTGTGTACTGCTGGAATTCGGCATAGTTGAACTTTGTGTCAGACGCTTCTCCTCATCGTTCTGTCTTTGATCAGTGTCTTCGGAAGACGGGGAATCCCGATGCTCATCATCCGGGGGTCCGAGCTGCGGTCAGATGAAAAAGCTACAGTGACCGAGTCACATACACGATGACTTCAGTATTAGATACGAAGCAAATCAATACGTCAAGTGTGGATTCAGAAAAAAGGACAGCATAATCAGAGAATAGTCAATTTTCCGGTTGTGTTCTAGGTTGCTGAGCTTGAGAATCTTCGAACAGAAAGAGTCAGAGGAGCAGAAAGCAAAGGAAGTAAATAATTCTGGCTTTCTGAAACGAAAAAACACAAACAACGAAGTGCACTCGAACACATAGCAAAGCCGAACTAACTGATACACACCAAATTACTTTGGTCTTCATCTGTCACCATTAGGGACAACAACACGATTGTTGACACTGACGCTTCATTGTCGTACAATCATAAAGCTCATCTAGTTACATTTAAAGCTATAGAGTGAAAAGAAGAGAAAGAGTGGGTGAGGCAGGGGACCTAGTGTTTGCCTTTAGCACGCACAACCAAACAATCTGGAAACTAACTGACGGCAAGAAAGAAACTGACATCAATTAGCCGGCATTTCTTGCAGTGTCTCCAGCACAGAATGAGTCATGGGTCCCCACTCTGGAAGGCGTACAACACCAACAACACCCAAACTCTTCGTCATTTCTCTCATATTCTTCTGCCAAGTCATGCACTGTCCACCTCGCGGTTTGCGCCATTCTGAAGTAGGCACGGAGGACAACACTCGTCTCGGTAGACGGCATGCGTAACACATGACTGAGCCACCGAGCCACTCAGGAATCACCATAGATTAAACGAGAAAAGGAACATACCTCTGCTGACTGGACCGTTTGTAGGCTGTGTACTGCTGGAATTCGGCATAGTTGAACTTTGTGTCAGACGCTTCTCCTCATCGTTCTGTCTTTGATCAGTGTCTTCGGAAGACGGGGAATCCCGATGCTCATCATCCGGGGGTCCGAGCTGCGGTCAGATGAAAAAGCTACAGTGACCGAGTCACATACACGATGACTTCAGTATTAGATACGAAGCAAATCAATACGTCAAGTGTGGATTCAGAAAAAAGGACAGCATAATCAGAGAATAGTCAATTTATTAAAAATGATGCGCTGTTGCAGTGGAATGAGGTTACAGTGACACGAATGACGAAGCCCTTTGTTACTAGGTTTGGACTTGATGGCACGTTTTCGGCCTCTGCACAAAACAAGGTAACCTTTACTGAGTCAAGGGAGCTAAATAGCTTTCGAACTAAATCGCCAGCACGGTCGCCGGAGAGAATATCAGCAGCCAATTACTTTTGAATTGTCTTTAATTTTCTTAGAACTGTGTACTAGGAAACGTCCATCTGGTTTAAATGACGAGCATCAAAATAGCTCACTGAAACTACGGGGTGAATGAATGTCGGGTGTTCTCACCGTGCGTTATCACCAGTATAAACCATGTAAAGGTTGTACAGCATTCCTGAGTGTTCTATTTCCACATGAGCTTCGGGGTATGATTACAAACTGAGAGCTATAGCCGGCTGTCGATCGATAATGGCCGATATTCTTGAACAGGGAAGCAATGAAGTTTCGTATGGCGTTTAATATCCTTATGTGAAGCAGAAATGCACCAAAACACAAGCACGAGTGCAAAAACACTCTTCGGTATCATACCTGAGACGACTGAGGCCATGTGTCTCGAAGTCTCTCTGAGTACTGTTTCGGTCTATCAAAGATAACAAAATAATCGTTCAGCTGTAACACCATTTCGATGCCTAGCTGCCATGCCACTCGAAGGAATCACGAGGATTGGGATACTACCAGGTTGCTCAAGCCTAGACAGTGGACGTCGTAGGGCAGAGTTCGGCTTGGAACCACAAACCGTCCGGTCAGTAAATTCACACTCTAACCAGTGAGTCAACGCGCCACCACATGAAAGGAAGAACGCCTTCGCATGCGGAGTGAAATCTTTCTACCGAAAAGCATTCAACGTAGCTCAAAAGTGCTGCTGTGAAGTCTCCACCGGAATCGAACAATGTGACCGGAACATCTATGAACAAACAGTAAAGGGACTAGCCTCATCGGAAACGAAGTGATTCTTGATCATTAGCTGCACAAAGCAGTCGGCAGCTTGCGTCGCAAATCCCATCAATATCATGTTGCGGCCATTAGTATCAAGGCGCAGGAACTGGTTGCACACGGGTTAACAGAACTCTGGCTTGTGGATGCTTGACTGGTAACCAGGTTTATCCCTGAATCTGAAGGGACGTGTGTATCAAGCTACAGTACAGGCTGCTTTGTTGTATGGCTGTGAGACTTGGCCTATTCAAGCAGCGGAACTGAGACGTCTTCAGGTTTTCGACAATCGTTGTCTCAGAACCATAGCTCGTGTGGGTTGGTGTCGGCGAATCCGTAACGAGGCAGTTAGAGAGCGTGTTTTCGGTTGTGTAACGGGTACTTCCATTGAAGAATGTGTCCAGCACCAGAAGCTGCGTTGGTTGGGACATGTGTTACGTATGCCGAACCATCATTTGCCGAAGAGAGTACTGTTTTACATGCCCAATTCGGAGTGGCGTAAACAGAGAGGTGGCCAACCCATGACCTGGCAGAGGAGTGCGAAAGAGATCACGAAACGCTTGGGTGCTGTCGGTGCTACTCGCCTTCCAGGATGTGGACCGCGTGATCCTCACTGTGCCTGGTTGGAGACACCATAAGATATGGCTGCCAACCGACGTCAGTGGCGTTCTTATTGTCAGTTTCTATCCAGATTGCCTGAGTGAATGTCTAGAGGTGTAGGCGCCTCGGAATGATTATGGTAAGCTAGCGCTAAATCCCTTCCCCGTCCACCTTTACTCTTTTCTTTACAATAAGGCAAATAAATAAATCATGGTTGTACGGCAGTGAAGTATCAATGTTGAACACAGATATCATGCCTTCGATGATGATGATGAACCAGGTTGTGTACATTCAGCCCCACTGACCCCAAGAGAAGACATCACGATGTGCCAGCTAGGCAACTTCCGCATTCCAGAAATGTAATGTATATAGGAGCTGGGACGTTCGTGCTGTTCTCGACAGTCTTGTTACTGCGAAGTCTCGTTTGCTAGCAAGATGGTAACGCTCATCTTTCGGTCAATGGCTAATTTATATTCCATGGGTAATAACTTCCCCCTGATCCACGTAAAAACTGCATAATTTTGCGCTTACGCTTATTAACAGCCACGACCAGCACGCCATAATCTTTTAGGAGCCAATATCGTCCAAGATTGTGGAAATCCACTCAACAAGATCTTTAGTGAATCGGACCATCATAAGTGCTGGCGACACCACCACTATATCGGATGTATCTGTTAGACACCACTGTGAAGTCTTGATGGTTACTGGCGATCGGCGCGCGAGAACCGTTGCATGATTCAAACCATCAAAACTTTGAAAAAGGACGGGTTGAGGTAATGTTTCACAAGTGGTGACCGAGCGACTAACCAAGAAGGTCTCAATTCGACTCGTGAGGTCAAAAACACCCGCTACTCCAACACTGGTCACACTATTCAAACAAAGTACGTACTGATGAAAATCTGACAGATGTCTCTTGTTGCAGATCCAACCGTGGAGCAGATGGCATGGGTACATTCAGCGAGGGTTCAAAATCTACTTCAACGCCCGATACGTTCTACAGATCCTGGGAAAGCGTTGCCAACTGTTGGATTCGATCTGCCGCCAAAGATTGCGTATTTGTTGCCGTCATAATCCCGGCCAAACTTTAACGTTTACCATAAGTAGGATTAGACCCTGGAAACATTGGTTGAAACTCCTGTGGTAATCGGCGTCATTGATTGCGCATAAAATTGCAATCAACCTTGGTCATCTACCCGAAACAGCTATGGAATAAATATATGTTCCACTGACCCTTGATAGACCACAAGTGAAACCAATAATGCTCTGATGGTAAATGTTGAAAACACAAGCAGCAGAAAAAAGCAGAGAACACTTTTGGCATGGGAACAGATGTTTTGGTGCGTGTGTACTTGGTTGTTGAACCAAGGTCGAGGGGGGGTAGAAAACGTTACTTTTTGTGCAAGTTTGTGACTAATGGATACCGGCGGATGAATGGAATGTGCAGACCAACAGGACTGACATGAAAAACAAAAAAGTCCACATAGCTATTCGCGATAATAATGTGGACAGTAAAAGAATACAATGGTCACTACTAAGCTCTGGTTTAGTCAATCCACCAGCAACAGGTATGTGGGGGATAGATGTGAGGGTTGAATAGGCCATGTGATGATGCAATGGGGCCGGTAAGTATTACCTAATCCTCAGCGTTGACCTTGCTCTAAGAATCCTACATTAAATTGAGGTACGGCAATCCAGTGTTTTCGGCACACAGTTAGACCGACCAAAACATGGTCCAGTGAACACCAACTGGGAAAATCGAAAGTAGCCATTGCGGAGATCGGACGTTGCAACGGTAGACGTATCTGATCACTTTTGGGCGAGCTAAAATGCTTCTCAATACAATGCTTAGATTTATTCTACAATTCCGCTGGTGGAATTCTTCTCTAGGTAATTGACTTCTATCTTCCATCTTCGCTTTATCGTTTATGTATCGTGCCCAAATACCTCTCCTTTTGCTTGGTTAGCTACGTTTGAAACTCATGCTGTGCACTCGTCGGTTCAACATCGCCGCGTGCACTCGGTGGACTCGTGCGACTCGACTTGATTTTGTGCATGAGCGTACTTAATTTGAACTCAGTATTGAGCTCCATGTAGCTGAGCGGTTGAGAGGCATACGTACTGACCCGAAGATTGGTGGTTCGAGCCCGACCTGTGCTTGGGCAACCTGGCAGCCCTCGTGCTTTCTTCAGGTGACATGACAGCTAAGCACAAATAGTGTTATAGCTGAGTGATTAAGATTACCCAGTATTACTCGAAGCCACCATACGTGCACAATTGAACGATTGCCTGGTAACAAATTTGTTGAACCGTTGGGCATTTCGGGGGTTCCGCCTAACTCAACTGACTGCTGGACGCTATACAGAAGAACTGGAGACAAATTACGACTGGTTGTTGGGGTCAGAAAAGTCTCCAACGAAATCGACTACGGTCGACCACATTGCAAGGTAGTTTTACTGTACGAATTGTTGTATTAGTTAAGGAGAATGACTGGCAATCTAACAACTATGAAACCCGAGACGTTTCCCTGGAGGAATGCAATGAACTGGGACAGCCTTTCGTTGTATTCTCTCGAACCAAGCAGTTGAATCTTTGAGTCAGTTCCATTGACATTTCACGCAGCTGAAGCTCAAAACACTATTGTACAGCCCGTAATTGGAAATCGTAGGGCAGTTCGGCAAGTCTCCGTGTAATCCATTCCCAACAACTCTGAAGAGAAACTAATGGGTAATGAGTTGTCCGTACACTAAGCACCGAGTCACAAGGTGACAAGGTTGCTCAAAACGCGAGAAATTGACTAGGTCGACAAAGAAAGACGAAACTTTAAAAAACTTCAATAGCTGTGAAATCTAACCGCTTTGCAAACTGACAGTATCTTGCAACGATACGGTTAAAACATTTCAGTATGGACAAGGATGCCCATTGTCTCTTAACCTATTCAATGTACCGATTAATGAAACGATTCAAAATCTCGGTACTGGAAGAGTTTTCAATGGAAAGCTGGTCAAAAGAGACTACACATCTTCGAAGATTGTGCGCCGTGGTGAGAGAAGCCTCAAAATCATTTGTTCAGTTGTAGCAAACACCCTTTTGATGCCTTGCTACCATGCCACTCGAAGGAAGCATGAGGGCTGTGGTATTGCCGGGTTGCGCAAGCCTAGACAGGGAAGTCGAAAGGCGGAGGTCGGGTTCGAACCACGGACCTTCCGGTCAGTAAATTCGCGCTCTAACCACTTGAGCCATGTCAAAGTCATTGATAGTTGTTGCCCCAGAAATACAGCTCGGATAGCCTTGTGCTATCGAATACGTTACACAAGACACTTGAAGAATGAATGTACATTTACGCACAAGGAGATTCTCAAATAACAGGTTTGTCCAGAATCGTAAGCGATACAAGGCAGATCTGTGCATGTCAAAGCATCATCTACCAAAAACAGCGTCGTTTTCGTTACTGACGTGAACTGAGAGGCAACTGGGTAGGTGTTTTCTATCGGCCAACCGTAAATATGTGAAGTTAAACTGCCTATGTTACTCAGCGACGCGTGGAACGCGTACAGTGGAGAAAAAACAACACATCTTCGGTTTACTCTCCAAAGCGTATCTGTTATACTGCAGTACTAAGTTGAGTCAAATCGTGTGGACTGTGATGGCGAAAACACCCTTCAGTTGGGCTTCAGGTCACGTGGAGAACGAAAGAATCAGAGTTGAGGACACACCACTCATATAAGACACGGGACGGAGTCAATCTGTGAACCAACGGTCACGCACTCAAGTGAGCGTAGAACATAGAAACCGAGTGAGAACCAAGGGAATGACTCACAAATGACGGTTGACACTCGACCGGATTAGTCAAATCTACGTTACATTTAATATTAACCAAATGGAACGAAATCCCACACACGCCCAGATAAAGCTGTTAATCCTAGGAGAGAAACACTAAATAGAGGTTACCAAAGGCGGTGAAGGCTCGGTCTCATAACCTCAAAAGAGATATAATACAGTGTTCTGATTTCGTTACCATGGTGACTAACAAAATAAGACAGACTACGTTAAATTATATTAACAAATCATGATGGCGATTTTCCGAGATAACATGTGAATTGTACTTGAAAAGAGCGCTTTGAAGGATGAAGAAACTAATCACCGACTTTTTATTACAGTTCGAAACCATCGCAATACGATTGTGCAGTTTATGCGAAGATTACAGAATATTACCCCTACAATGGCCCGTGTGGAGAAAACTCATTTGATAGATAGGGTATCCCGGTTTAAGCAACAATATCTTAGAATAGTGACTTCAGTGCAAACCATCCACCGAACAAGCCACGACTTCTGGTGGAAATAAAGATGAATAAGGTTAAGAATCGAACAAATCTATACGGTCCTCAGATTTGCAGCTCCCCCGACCAGGTTCTAGAACGATTCAACACTGCCCACTTCTGGCCCAGATTGCCCGAGTGGTTAGAGCGCGAATTTACTGACCGGAAGGTCCATGGTTGAACCCGACTCTCTGCCTCTCGACTTCCTCTGTCCAGGCTTGGGCAACCTGACAGTGTCCCAGCCCTCGTGCTTCGTTCGTATGGTATGGCAGCTAGGCACTGAAAGGGTGTTAGAGCTGAACGATTTCGATTTTTTAACTTCTCTGCTACCAACCAGAGCGAAATCCAGGTTCACAAGCCAAAGTCTTACTGAAATACTAAACCCAGAATTCAGAAACGGCCGAGCTCCTCATACACTTGTGGCATGTCTCACTACTACTAATACAGGGAATTAAAGCGCAAGCGTAAGTAAACAATTGTGGAAAATGATTAATTACACGGACAACTCAGAGTCAGCTCGGCCGAGCTATAACCTAATTCCTTACTGTGGGAGAGTTCCAGATTAATAGTTTCGGAAAAAAAAATGAAAATCAAAGGGGTGCTTGGCGGCAGAGATTTTCACTGAAACTGAGTAACCTGATAACTAGAACGGAAGATGAGAGTTCAGAAAAACTTTAGCCTCGGTCATGTTGATTGAATGGGGCGTGGTGGCTCAAGTGGTTAGAGCACGAATTTACTAACTGGAAGGTCCGTGGTTCGAACTCGACTTCCCCTGTCTAGGCTTGGGCGACCCGGCAGTATACCAACCCTCGGGCTTCCTTTGGGAAGCATGGCAGCTAGGCACCGGGGGGTGTTACGGCTGAGAGATTGAATAAGAACAAGCACGTCTCAATCATGAGAAGTCCTCATTCAAGGTAGGTGTGGGATAAGTCCAATGCAAAACTTTTCGTTGCTCTTATTCTACGAGGAAAATAGAGCTGTAAGGAGACTTATATCAACCACGGCAACAATATTCAATAGTGGAGGAATCGAAAACCTGTAGACTTGGGACGAATGGGGAAGTTCTACGAAAGGAACAGGAACCCTAATTTAATGGAGACTCGATGATCACGAAAGGCCGCTCGAAAGTGATGAATTAGGTAGACAAAAAAGCGGCATTAGCTGAGTTACTGAGTGGGTCCCAAGCAAGCAGCAATCGAAGGAGGATATCCAGGTAATCAATCAATAATGAAGACGACATGTTTGAAGTCTCAAGCTCCTGCAATATCAATTTTAATCGGCTTCGAGGTGACTGGATCACTTCGCACATCGAACAGTTGTTGAACGGGGAAGTGGCATTGATTCACTGCTAAAAGATATGCTTGGGAATAGAGACTACGATGGACTTGGAAAAGGCCCAAATTAAGCTCCACAAAGGAAAGTATCTCTGACATGTCTTCTAGGATGACAGTTGTTCCAACTGCGCGGTCGCGAGCTCCATAATTCAAACCATGGGAACTACACAATGACAAAAGGTATGTAGGTAAACAAGGAGTTCATCCATCGGGTTGAAAACACTGAAACAACGTTCGGACTGCGTGACCACGGTGGAAACTAGAGTCCCAATGAAAGAAATCTTGGAATTCCCCTGTTCCGACTCAACTCCGCCGAATGCAACGCACTCACCGAGCAGAGAGGTGCATATGTACAAGAGCGAACCTCGCAAACGGGTAAAACCAACATTGTGTTGTACTCTTCACACACTAGCAGCTCGTCTGAATACAACAATCATGTATCTACTAAGGTGGTGACTAGCAATAATAGAGGGCTTGCGGTGCATTGTGACTGACAATCGGTCAAGACTGTTGTAATCACTCACAGATTTATGTTTTTCTCTCTCTCTCTCAAAGGATTGATTAAAATAGCCATGTTCGTTCTGTCCCCCAGAGCCAATACGAAGATAACACAAACAACGACTAATGGTGCCACCATTAAATCTAAACAATTCTTTCCAAGCTATTGTAGCTCTATTTTTACTCCCGTTTAGCAGTCGGAATGTGTAGGTGTGCAAGAAAGTCGTAGAACAGAAGCTCCGGTGTTTATTAACAACGGTGAATATGGTAAATTACACTTCAGCCATTTCACTGTTTCACGACCTTGTCCACGTGGATGATTAGTCTAACATATCAAACCGACTGAATTACTGAGATGATACAACCCTCCCGCGACTGTGTTTTCAATCCATACCTTTAATAGAAAGCAATGAAATTATAAACGATTTCGAGACAGGAGGCGATGGGAACATTCGTATGGGAAGGTCTGGAATCTATAGCTATACCTAGAGAACGGGCGTGATAAAACAATAGGATCACTCCATGACAAATATTTGTTTGGGTATTTCAGCCAGTTCGTCTCAGACATTCTCTGTCTCGGTTAAATATACTACTACTCAAGGTCTGGATGACATTCTTGGAAGCGTCCAGGAGCAAGTTGACCGATCCAATAGCTACACAGGTTGCGAGAAAATCAAACCCTTGATTCAGCGAAAGACAGGCAGTTCCAATATCTGCCTCCATGTCCGATTTCGGCAACCAGTGACAATGCTGTTTCACCGAAACGAAATTACACAAAAGAGCACTAGCTCCTTTATACTCCATACTAAAAGGTACTACTAAACAGGAATCAGGTTACGCAGGAGTGGGAACCACGCATAGTCACTTTAGGTGAGCCTGGGGTCAACCCTTGGGAGAACTCTCGTGCTTGTTACCCTATTGTGTTTGAACAATGTGTTGCACATTGTATGGGTATAGACTGACACAGAGATTTTATGTGACTGACAATTGCGGTAGTTCACCGTGTCCTGGTTTCTGTGTGGTTGTCACAAACTGACCTCTCTTCTTCGTATTCAGCAACAACCAGAGGTTTGGCCGAATAGACTAGCAGCGCAAGGTCCATTACTGTTATGACTGCGATAATCATTATGGTAATGTTGTGGTCAAACTGATTCTATACCGGGTCAACACATCCGGTTTAGAGGGTTTCAAAAGCCAACAATGGTCACAGAATTAGATGGTTGAAAAGGAACCAAAGACAAGCCATAGTACAGGGAAGCACTTGTGGCTTCCACCAAATATGAGGACAGACTGTTACTTTAGTCACTAACACAGAGCCCGTTGTATATAGCGAAAGAGGGAAGGAAAGGAGTGGAAATGGTTAGGAACCGCCACTACTGTGCCACTCGTCAGCCCCGAATGGTTGCGATCCAAGCAAAGCCGGAAACACAACCAGAGTTCGGAACGGAAAAGTTGATACGTCAATATATCCAATGCATGTGGGAAAGGTGGCTCAAGAGGCTAGAGCGCGAGTTTACTGACCGAAAGGTCCTTGGTTCGATCCCGAAATCTGCCTCTCAACTTTCCCTGTCCAGGCTTGGGTAGTACCTCAGCTCTCGTGCTTCCTTAGGGTGGTAGGGCGGCTAGGTGTCGAAAGGGTGTTACAGCTGAACGATCCATGGCACGTTGACTACATTTCGGGACACGTTGTCTACGGAAACGATAATGTTTCTCCTAGTAAATTAAAGATTCAGAATACTAGATTCGAACATAAGGTGCAGTAGTTTGCTCACAAAAGAGAAATAAGCTGAGAAGTGAAACATGTCCTCCTAGCGGATGCGTCCTTTCTTTGAAGCAATGACGAATAAGAAGCGTCCCCTAAATTCGACATCCTGTTTCCAGTTGTGTTTGTTTGAACGAAACAAGGCTACATATATTCGAACATCATCAAAGATTTGGTAGTGTGATTGTCGGCTGCTTAATCATGTCGAAAACGCTGATAACCGAGAAGGGGAAACAGGAAAAAAGAGTCAGAAATCCAAGATGGGCGTGAAATCCAGGATCGCATGATGTCACTTATTTACGTCCGTTCTTCATTCAACCACGTGCTGCCGGAGCAGTGGGTGTATCAGTGACACCAAAAAACCACTGCCTACGTGGCAGTATGAGACGAGACTCTGGGTGTCGCAAAACCAATGCTTATGAGAAACAATCGAAGCTTCAAGGCACACGCGTTTAGGTTAATTCCGGGAAGGGAGGAGTGAGATAGAGGTTTTGAGGTGGCAGAAACAGTCGAGAATAGCTTCATCAAGTCGCTACTTTTCGAACACAGAGATTCAAGCTGAGTAGTCCGAGCGCCACAATCTTTGACCAGTATAGGAGAACACGGTATTCCGACACCTGATCACCTGTCTGAACAGTGTGTCCATATAATTCAAAGTCAGTTGAGTGAAAGATAGGCTACAGTTGAACTTCTCACATAGCACAGATTCCGTGAACAGGAATACCGTCGTGGTATAATATAGTATGGCATCTGCACCATCTGATGTGAAAGATGGCTCGGTATCTGGTACACAAGGTATTGTGAATTTGAATTTTCTTCTTGGGTCCCTCTAAGATAGGGGAAAAGGGGCGAACGGCATCGTTTCGATATGATCACATGCTAGACAATCGCTGACAGTGAACACTGTTGCTGACATTTCGAGGGAGTACTGTTTGTTCGGAGTGAGGCTCAAGATGTGTGCCATTAAACGTTTTTTGCTCTTTCCTGTGCGGCGGGGTGTCACATACAGCAAAAAAATGATGAGAATCAAATATTGGTAGTTGCCTTCGAATGGCTGCTGCCTCATCCCCCGCGATCTGATAAGGGGCGAGATGGATTAAGTGCCTAGAGCGCGAATTTACCGACCGAAAAGTCCATGGTTCGAGCCCGACCCCTGCCTAGGCTTGGGCAACCTGGCAGTATCCCAGCCCTTGTGCCTCCTTCGTGTGGCAAGGCAGCTAAGCACCGGAGGGGTGCTACAGCTGAACGATTTTTTTTCGATAAGCAGAACACGTGTGGAAGAAAATTTTTCCCATATCACTACACCCGTAGTCTACCAGATGCAAAACACTGTCAGTTAAATGATGTCTCGGGTCAGCTTCTGAGACGATTGAACAAGTGTTTGCTCGTTTTAAACGCTTAGAGATAATCTACTGATGCTCGGGTGACAAGAACGGTTGACATTTTGGCAACCGCACGCCTGCGCCCACATACCTTAGTCGTACGAAATATATCCTGTCACGTCAGGCAGAGTAGATTTGACTGAGAGGTTATCGTAGCCAAGTTAAAATCTATTTTCACACTCTCATCTAGCCAGACAGTTTGTAAAAGGAGACAGAGGGTGATCCAAACGATAAACAAGCCACCCTGACAACATACAAGTGCGGAGTTTGGAATAGTCAATAAGCCATGCGTTGTAGAAGACCATTTCGAAAAAAAATTCGTTTCGTTTCGTTCCTCATATCCATGCATCATTGCAACATTGCGCTTTCCGCCTAGCTGCACAAAAATGTAGGTTCATTTAAGCCAACATTCCCTTCTTAAATAGTTGAGAGAATGGACAGGGGAACCATAAAAGCGCTGTTCGAATTAACGTTGACAGCGAAGTCGCACCTAATTAGCTGCAAGACACACTACTAGATGCTGATCTAGTGTGAAGAGAAGACAGTTTGGCCAGTGCCTGTCTAATGAGAATGGCCTTCTTATCAATTTTATCGATCGGACAAGCTCAAACTGCATCTATTAGCTAATTGAACATACTACAGGTTCACGAGACAGAACGAAATCCAAGTTAACCATGCCTTAGTGCTCAAGCAGAATGGAATACGGTCGAAAAAAACAGCCCCATATCGAGAGTCTCGTGACTTCGACCGAGTTCAAGCTTTTCGGCTACTTTGGTCTTAGATTGAGCAAACGAGTGTGGTGGCACAACCGTCTTGCATCGCACGCCAGCGATGTACGAAAAATCAACAGAGCACGCACGAATTGCAGTCTGGTGTATTCCGAGTGGAAAACATCGCGTGTAGAATGACGTAGCCTAAAAAAAACTCTGACTAACACAAAACGCTAGTAACCGGCGAAGGCATGTATCATACGAGCACAAATAGACTTTGTACGTGATTCGCCACACTATGCGACTATATCAGCGTCAACCGTGAACACGACGGGTGGGAACAATCGGTGCAAATGGGCATGATTCGCTGCTTCATATGTCAACAGTGGCGCACTTGGCGAATGATTTCTTTGAAACGCGCAAGTGGTGACGTTCTTAGCGTCTTGTGGTCAGGCTTTTGAGTCAAAGGCTCCGGTTGACGACCTAAATCGTCCACCTGTCTAGATGTGGCAGTATCCCATCCCAAGTACAACCAAGAATGATCAATCATACCAGTAAATCAATGAAACTGAATAAAAAAACGCCGTCATTATCTTCGAAGTTACCGGCATACTGACATTGTAGCCCTGGATTCATATGAAGGCGTAAAAAAATTACAGCAAGTGGGAACTAGTGGAAAGTCGTGTAATAATAATAATAATAATAATAATAATAATAATAATAATAATCGTTCAGCTGTAGCACCCTTTCGGTGCCTAGCTGCCATGCCACCCGAAGGAAGCACGAGGGCTGGGATACTGCCAGGTTGCCCAAGCCTAGACAGGGGAAGTCGAGAAGCAGAGGTCGGGTTCGAACCATGGACCTTCCGGTCAGTAAATTCGCGCTCTAACCACTTCGGCCATCTCGCCCCCGGAAAGTCGTGTGGCACTTTGTATACCACTGAACCCTGTGGTTCGACGTCTTGTATTCGCATTGCTTTTGTATGGAAAACCCGCAACTTATCTTAGTGAAAGAGTCCGAATTGGCCACAATAAGATGGGAAACACTACCATTGAATTCTGCTCATCAGTAGTACGTGCCTCGGAGGGCAAGGGACCTAAACTCCAAGGACATCAAATTGCCGGGTTAAATGCTCATCACTTGGCACACCTGAATTGCCACATTTAAACCGATCGACGTCATGGCATTCGAGTGAGTGCGTTCCGAAAGCGTCTACACTGGTGACCTTGCGACGACATTCTGAAGGATGATGATCTATCTTCCAACCTTTTTCGGTTGACTTATCCAAAGGTGGGTGGAGTTAAAAGGAATCCTGCGCAACTAATCACATTTTTTGTCTATCCCTAATTCTGATTGTCTCGTGCACCTCCCCTAGATCTTGACATGTCTGCAAGATTGGTTAGCGGTGTTTACCGTTTCGCCACTCAAAACAATTACACAAGTTTCGTTTGGTTGCCCCGACTTGGCCTAGACCAGCAACACTTGGGACATATTGAGAACTGAACCGACGTTAACGGACGGTTGGACAAAATCATCTCTTAAGGATTGCACACATCCTCTGTTGTTTTGTATTGCCGTTAAAGCTAAAATAAAAATGGCCAGCTGTCGGTACTTAGCTGTCGTGTCACTCGAAGCAAGCACGAGAATCGAGATACTGCTAGGTTGCCCAAGACTGGACAGGAGCAGTGGGGACACAGAGGTCGGGTTTGAACCACGGATCTTCCGGTCCGTATTAACCACTGAGCCGCTGATCACTGTTGTTACTCGGCAATTTATATAATAGATAACGTTTTCTCTACGAACAGCACAAGTGAGGATCAAGAAGAAATATCAGTACGTGAGACACTCGGTATGCGATATTCTCTGCGATGACAGTCTCGGACCCATTTAGACAACGCACACTTGGGAGTGAAAGTAGTGCGATTCCCCTGATATGACCTACCATCATCGACAGCATGACATCAGTGTTCAACGCCGATGCTTCACTGCCGTACAACCATGATCTATTTGAAAGCCAAAAAAAGAATAAAGGTCGATGGGGAAGGGACTTGGTGCTAGCTTACTACAATCATTCAGAGTAGTCTACACCTACAGACACTCATCCAGGCAATCTGGATAAAAACTGACAACAAGAACGCCATTGACACCGGTTGTTGGCCACATCTTGTAGTGTTTCCAAGCAGGCGCAGTGCGGATCAAACGGTTCCCATCCTGGAACGCGAGTAGAACCGAGTAGCACCCAAACGTTTCGTAATCTCTTTCATACCCTTCTGCCAGGCCAAGGATTGGTCACCTATCTGCTTTCGGCACTCTGAGTTAGGCAAACTACCGTAACGCTCCTTAGTTGAAAATTCTTACCTCAAGATCAGGACTAATGCAAGCATGGTACGTGCAAGTGGTGTCCTCATTGTGGTGAACAAGAACAAAGGACAAGACATTACTCACCGAATCGTTTTGTAACCCTTTTTGACTTCCAACACTAGAGGAATAGGCATCGGCAGCCACGGAAGTCGAATTCTCATTTACTCCCGTCGAAGTCTTACTAGTCAACTCGTTTGCACAAGGAACCTGGTCAGCACTGGTTCCACGTTCCAATTCTGCACTCACGCGGTTCGCTTGATCCGACTCAGTCGAAAATTGATCTGCTGGATATGAGGGAAGTAAAGTTCCGTTGAGGAGTGGACCTCGATCCACTGCGGACCGCAGATCGGTGGTCGAACAAACCGGATTCGGAGGCGTGGGTATAAACTGATGTGGATGGAAATGCTGCGAAGCTGGGACTGGACCCAGAGTAGGAGTGTGTACAAACTGTGAGTGATAATGACTGACTGGCGGTGTGAGCTGTGGATGAGGATAGTTGTAAGCACACAAAGAAATCGGTCCGCCAACAGGCAGATGAGCTCCGCCAGGTGGAACGGATGATGAACTGTGAGACAAGTGCGGATGGTGGTGATGATGGGCCGGATGAGACCCCGGTGCTGGTGGCGGTATAGCTGCGTGTAAATGGTGTGTTGGATCCAACAGGACGCTCGACCCCTGAGCAACAATCCCGTTGGGTTGGTTGAGCGGGACTGTGGGAGTTGAGGCCGTAGCGCTAGACGGAGGTGGCGGCGGGGGTGGGGTTGGCCCAGGATACAGAGATAAGATGACGTGTTTGAGGATCCCTTCCTCATCAACGATTTGCTGCACCAAATGTCCTGCAGGCACTTGCATTGGCATGGGTATGGGGGGACCACTGTTGGAAACCATTCGGACTGTGGCCGGGCCTATGACGTTGGAAGCGGAAAAGACCATAGGAATTGACTGTTAGTGAAACGCTGTGACAACAGATTATATCCACTGCTATCACTGTGCTCAGTGTGTATCGCTTGAAGCACAGACACAATCCCGCTTGAGTTCTGCTCCTGATACAAAAGCCTCAACAGGTTGATCGAGTTTGAACGCGGATGGAGAACCGAAGGGAGGCCTCTTTCAATTAGCCAAAGAAAACTAAAGCGATCGTTTTCGAAAAAGTTTGGTGCCAAATTCATTTCCGCAAACCCAATCCGACTTCCGAACCCGCACAACTCAGCTAAAGTTGTGAACCGACCCGAAGCCGAATATTCCACTAGAATATTCCCTTAATCCATCTACCGTAGGTGTCATTCGTCCACATTAGCCAACAAGAACTTCTGATTGACCTTCAGCAATGATAGAAATCGGTTAGTTAAAGAATTACCTCACTGACTAGTTCCACGTCTGCTTAAAAACCGCATCAACCTGGTAGCTTGTCCGTTTAGTCAAAAAACGGAACGTCACTCAGCAACAAATCCACCGACCGAGTACCACTCCCTCCGAAAAATAACTATCAAACGAAAGCGATGTGACGGTTACGAACGGTGAATCATGTGTTTAGTAGTAATATTAATAAAAGTTCAACTGTAAGACCGTTTCGGTGTCTAACTGCCATGATACCCGAAGGAAGGAGGACTGGAATATTGGCAGGTTGCCCGAGCCTAGACAAGGGAAGTCGAGAGGCAGAAATCGGGTTCGAACCACGGACCTTCCGGTCGGTAAATTCGCGCCTCTTAAACACATTCGAACCAGCATGTATTTACATTTGAAGGTCTGTGATGCACAAACACAAACTCTCGGTGACAGGTTTAACTTCCGCTCGAGGGCAATAAAAGGGTCGATGCGGAATTATCATTACCATAAAAATCCCATAAACAGCTAAATGGTTACCAAATGAAACAGATAAAAAAGATTAAGTGGATGTATTATTACACACAAGGTTGACCTTCATACGGCGTAGAATAGGCCCCTTTGGGTAGTAAAATCAACAGGGAGAGAAGGGCTGAGGTACAAACAGCCAATCAGACGGATGAGCTGACTAACGTAATTGTCTGAGTGAAATCAGAACACAAGTAATCGCTTGACCGTACACTTCATCTCAACAAAATGCTGGAATTTTTCTAGTCTCCATAGTTACCAACTCCCTATGGTAGGACGACGGAAAACGGGCAAATACTGCGATTCATTTAAACACAGTAGATGTTTGGTCCAGAAAGCATATCTAGTCACCATACATCTAAAGAAATGAAAGAAACAGTATGTTTGATTAAATGGTTACCCAGGCTGTTGCTGGCTTGAAGGTTTAAACTCGTTAAGAAAGGAATAGGACAGGATCGATTAAAGGTTGTCATTGTACAGAGGAGGCTTGACTATATTACAAGAAAGCCATACAACAATCAGAAACCGGTAGGATGGCTTTCCCGGACCCTTCTCTACACATTTATTCATGCATCAGCCTTCTATCTTCTACCGTGGTTGAATCTTGCTCAACAATGCCAGAAAGAACTCCTCAACAGCAAAACTAGGATCAGCCGAACATGGCATTCTTCCAATACACACATGTCATGAAAACTGAAATGCTTCCAAGTTGTCCAAGTATAGTGTAACGGGCAGTGTAATGACAATTCTCGACAATACCTCGTATGCTTCAGCAACTCACTTCACTTCCGTCAGTTAGTTTTCCTCGACCATGCAGCTTCGAGTCTATGTTGCCTATGGCCAATCACATCCTTCGTGATCCCAGACCAATCAGGTGTCATCTTGTAAACCACACATCTCCTAGTCAGCCAGATCGGTTAGTTTAACAATCCAGTAATTACCGACAAATTCTTATTGAGTATAACTTTCTACCGTTCCAATCCTATACCGATTTAAGTTCAGTAGCTCTAGAGGACTAAATTCCTATGCCATAATTTCCAAGTTTTCCAACTGATAAATCACCGGATAAAGATGGATCATCTCTCAACCTCTGCCTACTTCCGGAATGAGTGTCTGTGATACGATTCATTCATTGCGAGAATAATAAACTCGCCTTCTTGGGAGGACGGACAACAATAGTTGTGTGGTTTGGTGAAAAATACATAAGAAAGTGCTCCTCCTCGCTTCAAACCGATTGAGAAGTCGGAAAGGTTTGAAGTAAGTGCGACCCAATCTTCCTTCAACAGAAACACGAAATTTAGCACAGAAATTCCACTGCTTTGAGCCTCATTCTATTGTTACAATCATGTCTCCGTCAAGCGGATGGATTAGGCACAAGTGACTGGTTCTCATTACGTGACCTTATTCGTGGCCGGAAATGAGGGCTGCCTTTCGCTCTGACTTCCATTCCCATGTGTAGCAGGACGTGCGGGAAGACCATAAAGCCAAGACAACCGGCATTCCAATGTAGGCTAGAAATGTCGCTGCCGTGTTAACACAGGCAAGTCGTTCACATTCGACAGTAAAACTCCCTTTTTCAGGACAGGTTGGGATCGACGCCAGAACGTGTGGGAAACTACTCTCGCTATTAGTCCAGAATGTAAATAATGACAAAGTACGTGTGCCTGAGAATTATTCACGCAACAACACTCCACCGAGAGCAAGTTTGAATTTTCAACACTATTACTGAGACGGTGCGATATTCAATGAACCACGGACTAAAAACAACGAGCTAGATCAATACGTAAAACAAAAAGAACAAGTGATCCGATTCAGCAAACCTGTGTAACGTGGGTTAGTTAGCTCAAAATCTGAACGATCGAACTTGCCCTTGTCAATCAAAAACATGAACCAACGTCTGAAGGTTTCGTTGAATGAGGACACGTTTAGGACGAGGTTCACTTTGAGTAGCAAATAGGAAAATATCCGTGGAACTTGCTTCCATCTGCATGCAAGTGAAGAACTGAACCAGTGTAGAACAGCAGGAAGGAGAATAACGAATAAAAGGAAGTCTCGTCTACGAAAAGCTGGGAACTCCCATACCTGGAAAGTCTGGATTGTGATGGTTCCTAGGGTGGGTTTGGGTATGATTCGTTTATCCACCAATTCACGAGCGCGGTTTACAGTGGGTCGGAAACCGCTGATATATTACGATATAAAGATGCTGAACTCTTTACCAACTAGAGTTCCAACATGGGACTTTCAACCACGGGTTTTGCAGGCGGCTATTCAACCACACGGTTTGAACTTCAATTAGAATTAGTATTTTTTTTACATTTTTCGGGGCTTACATGATATCAGACATCCGAGGTTTACAATATAGTGAAAGGAAACCATCCATAAAAGCTGTTCTCCTCTTGGTTCGTGCTTCACTTGAGAGACGAAAGTCCTACCAAACGTGAGTAATCGAAGAAAGCATCGAGCTCAGTACGACAATATTGTCGTCAAGTCAAGCGATGCCGTTTGCATATGGCTGGGGGGAAGAAAAACTTCGCGGAGTGGACGACTTTCTGACACGTAAAGTACGTAGCATAGCTGGTCTGACATGAGTGTTTTTTTGCTGATTGCAGATCCCGAAACTGATAAGCCAACGGTAAACTTACACCCAAATCATCTGTAAGTGTTGACAATGTTCAGCCGTAGCACCCTTTCGGTGCTCAGCTGCCATGACACTCGAAGGAAGCACAAGGCTGAGATGTTTTTTTGCTGATTGCAGATCCCGAAACTGATAAGCCAACGGTAAACTTACACCCAAATCATCTGTAAGTGTTGACAATGTTCAGCCGTAGCACCCTTTCGGTGCTCAGCTGCCATGACACTCGAAGGAAGCACGAAGGCTGAGATACTGCCAGGTTGCCCAGGCCTAGACAAGAGAAATCGGGATGCAGAGGTCGGGTTTGAACCATGGACCAAGTTCCATCGAAAATTAATGCCAGGTTTACGAGAATATTGTTTTTATCAACTGCAAGCTTGCAGTACAGACCTCAATCCGAGGGACAAAATGTTGGGGGTCTGGTAAGCCAAAACTTAATCGTTCCCTGCTCTGAGCTGGGAATGGAGAAGTGCCAGACATACTGGAACTTTAGCAAGCTGATTTGGAAACGTTTTGCTCTCCTACATCACATGACGCGCACTTTACGTTCTTGATTGCAAGTTTTTTCCGGTACATATTGACTGCGATTATGCCTATAACCCAAAAACTCAAACTCACTACATTCAAGCGACCAGGAGTGAACATAGAGAGAAAAACATGAGAGGTCATGTGAGACGAATAACTTCAGTACCCTGTAAAACCAGTGAAGTACTTGTGAAGCGACAGGACAACTAGGAGCTCAGTTAAACGATTTGATCCTGATCTCGAAGCAAGAGCGAAGGATCAGTACGATTTGAAGCATTTCAACCCACCACGTGATCCACCTACGCACTGGACGTATGCATCTGTATGCGTTTGCTCGGATCTCGGTTAACTTAAAACTACGTGTGGGTGCAGAACATACACTGAGGCCGGACCTCAGATTGATCGTTTGACAGACACACGTGAAAATAAACACGGACACACTGCGGAACTCCAAAAAAGACAAAGCATAAAGCGGTGGGGAAGTGAAGGCGGGTAAGTCCAAGGTACGAGCAGGCAGCAATGACATGGCGCACACGGACAGCGTAAACGACGTCCGTTGATATAAGCTGATTCGTCCACGGCATGTGTCTGGTCACGCAGGACGTAAACGAGAGAAGGGTGAGAAAACTCGGAGAATCCGATTGTCATGAAAATGAGTCGGGTTAAAAATAGGTAGATCAAAATCACTGCAACAGATCCAATTATAGAATCTGGCCAATTGGATCGGAGATATCACAGCGGATGGACGAAAACGCACACCAAATAGCCGACGATCAAGGCATAACAGGCTGGATTTATCAAGAAATACACTCATTTGCAAATCAGTTTGGTTTTCACCAGAGACTCAACTGAATCTCTCGTTTATGATGTTCTACAACTGAATTTACTGCACACAGGCCGTCTCATGTTTCAAGTGGTGCGATATTCGAGATATCGCAGTATATTTTCATAAAAGAAACTACTCACAAGGTTGCTGAAAACTCTTCGACAGCCCACGACCGGTTTCACCCTTCTTGGGGCTCATCAGATAGGCGTAGTCCCCGAGTTTCAGTCAACCTTATGTTCTACTTGAACCCAAATTGGACTGTTTTCGAGAAATACACTCATTTGCAAATAAATTTGGTTTACACGAGAGACTCAACTGAATCCCTCGTTTATGATGTATATATAT